AGACTGAAGGCGGCTTGGTTCTAGGTTTTCTAGGCCTAGAATTTCGAGTCTGGTGGCTTAAGGTATCCTGCAACGAGTAGAGGAGTGGAGAACTCTTCTGGTGAAATATTTCTGGACTTTCCCAACTGTGTTAATATCAGATACGTAATGCGGGTTCCAGACTGATTAGCTATATTCAAGTATTTGTCTAGCAAATGTTTTGATAGACTGAAGAGAGTAAACACAGGCCAGTCCTCCACTGTTTCCAGGGTAGCCCCAAATCCTTGAGTTTGATACCCCTGCCCTAGTACAAGTATATACCCATGAATGTACCTATATTTGAATGCTGGGACAAATTAATAACCTGGAATATGGAATTATACATATTCTATAATCTCAAAAGTCTCAAAAAGAAATTCTTCCACTTTATGCACTTTCAAAATCACTTGGGGAGCCCCATGTGAAAGCAGCTTGTGAAAGCACCATCTATGATTTCACCCCATGTGAAAGCACCATCTATGATGGTGCTCCACAAGCATAAAAGCGCCTCTTGATTGGAGGCTATTTAAGGAATATGAAAAGTGGAGTAAGATTAAAGACCCGAAACATCTATAAAAATGTTCAAGCCGATTATGTTACAGTACCAAACTTAAGATTTTCCTAACTTTTGTTAAATGTTTATAATTGTAAGACGCATTACTGTCTATGCTGCACTGGCATTGTTTCTGTTGTTTGTGTATGCTGCTTAATATCTTTTTAGACTGAACAGGCATACAAGTGAATAAATATTGCAATAAATAAATACTTTCTAATATTAAAAAAAAAAAAAACGACCTTGATGGAAATTGCAAGAATTGTTATCCAGGCAAAGGAGCTGAGACATTTGTTGAGCCCTGACAAACCAGATAATATTTCGAAGAAGCTCAAGTAGACTGCCGTGATTCAGATGGTTATAAGAAGGGGAAGGCCCAGCACCACCAAACTTGAAAGATGCTATTATTATAGTAGAACTAATGTCAATAAAAGGTCTTTTAGCCACAAGGTAGAGTTAATTTCCTGTGCCGGCTATCTCGTGGAACTGACATAGATCTTATTCCACAGCATCAAAGGCCTATTTTTAAGCAAAACCAGTTAGCTAAAATTCAAATTATCACAAGCTCCAAACTCGGGGTAAAGTTCTTCCTTTTCTGCAGACGTTGGTGCTCAACTTTCTTTGCATTAGTTTGTGGAGTCCTTTATGTTGAATCTTAAGTATATAAATTAAGAGAGGAAAAATAAGGTACTTCACATGATGGCAATCCGATCCATTACAAAGGTTAAGTCTTAAAAGAATATTAGCCAGGAAAAGAAAAGGCCTCACTTGAAGAGTATCTCATATCATTATTTAAAAATAATTTGAAAATAATTTTTAATTGCCATTTGGGTCTTACCATATTTGGGGGGCCAAGGAAGAGAAGGATGCTGAGGCAGTTATTGGGGTGTTTTTCCCCTTAGATAGGAAAGTGTTGAGGAGGGAGGGAGGGAGGGAGAGAGAGAGGGAGAGGGAGAGGGAGAGGGAGAGGGAGAGAGAGAGGGAGAGGGAGAGGATGATGATAGATAGATAGATAGATAGATAGATAGATAGATAGATAGATAGATAGATAGATATAGATAGATAGATAGATAGATAGATAGATAGATAGATAGATGATATTGTAAAAGAGATACTATAAGAGAGAGAGAGAATACTGTAGTGTAGATGATAGAGACTATAGAGAGATAGATATGATACTGTAAAAGATATATCTATCTATCTGTATCTATATATCATCTATATATCTTTATCTCTATCTTATCTATCTGTCTGTCTATCTATCTATCTATCTATCTATCTATCTATCTATCTATCTATCTATCTATCTTAAAGATGGGACACTTAATTTGCACTATGTGTGTGTGTGTGTGTGTGTATGTGTGTGTGTGTGTGTTGGTGCATTTCCATGCATGCGCACACCACTTCAAAATAGCAAGGAGCCATGCTGTTAAGTTTTGGCACCTATGGTCAGAGAAGAATCTCAGAGTTTTGAAAGAGCTATTTAAGGGCACAATTCAGCTCCCAAGACAAGAAGTTGCCCGTAGCCGTATCAGACCCATATATGCATCATGTTTATATCTACTCTTCTGCCAATAAAGCTCTTAAGATTAGCTTTACAATCCTGGTGGCTGTTTTGGCACAACATGCTATGCTTGGTCAAATGTTTTTGCTTTTTTTTAAATAGCTAAGTGTGTTGCATGCACGCAGCTCCTTCTCCTTGGGTTAGTTGATACCCCACCTCCTTCTTCATGTATTCTGGGAGCCCAGAAAACCCCCTGATTTCACCACAGCAAGTTAAACCTTGCATTGGGAGGGCAGTCTTGGAGTTCTCCGCACCAGGACAACATGACAGAATTCCTGTCTACAGAAGATGCTGACTCGAAGCAAATATGTTAAGGTTTGGCATGATAGCCTGGTTCATCCAGTGGACTAAGTCAAGGGCAGCTTTTCCAAACATGCGAAAACACAAATGATTAAATCTCTAAGAAATGGATTTAAGAGAGTGTGAGAAAGAGTGAATCACAAAACCACAGACTTTCCCTTCTTTCTTTTTTTCTTCTTTCTTTCCTTTCTTCCTTCCTTCCTTCTCCCTCCCTCCCTCCTTCCTTCCTCCCTTTCCTTCCTTCCTTCCTTCCGTCCTCTCTTCCTTCTTTCCTTCCTTCCTTCCTTCCTTCCTTCAAAATATTCCAGATAAATAATACGATATTCCCATGTCATCTTATAACATGAGGAGACATTTGAAAAATTACTGATTTAATTCATTGGAATTAAATCAATATGATATTCCCATGTCATCTTATAACATGAGAAGGAGACATTTGAAAAGTTACTGGTTTAATTCATTGGAATTAAATCAATAACCCTGCAGGTAAATGCCTGAACCTCTCCTCTTTAATCCCTATGGTATTTACGATATTCTTTTCCTTGAACAACTACCAACAGTCTGATGGTTCTTTAACATTTTGTATTTTTATTCTAAGCTTCCATGGATTTCAGCAACTCCTCTCAGTTTTACAAAGATTTTATTTCAACTCAGGTTAATTTCCATTAACTGTAAACACCTTTTCAATTTACAATCTTTTGGGGTGTTTTGTAGCTGAATTTCTAATTCTTTGATTCTTTGTTCTAATTTATTTTGTTGGGCATATTTTTCTTTATTTCTTTTAGCGGTGTATGATATCGTTATGCCTCTTATTATTGCCTTCATTGTATCCCAAATATTCTGTTTCGTAGTTGCCTCATTGTTATTTTCTTTTAAAAAATAATCTAATTCCTCCTCAAATCTATTCATAAATTCTTTCTCTTTAATTAGCTGTGTATTTAGGGTCCAGCTTTTCCTTGGTTTCTTCCTCCTACCTTTCCACACTATCTGAATCGGATTGTGATCTGCCCATTCATTTTGGTAAAATTTCAATCTCTTTTAATTCATTTACTAACTCACCATTCATCCACACCATATCGATTCATGTCCATGATTGGTGAGGATTAGAGTAAAATGTAACTTGCTTTTTCTCAGGGTTTAATTTCCTCCACATGTCTATCA